CCAACCCTCCCACTGAAAAATAAGAAAAACCAAAACCCATTACAAATATATATATAGTTAAGGAAAACAAATTCCTTCATTAGCCACATGGGAAGGGTATTTGAAATGCGACCATTCTGGTGCCTGTTCTTATGCCCCAGTGCTAACCATGATGCCCAGTCTTACAGAGCTGATTGGGGGGAGGGGGAGAGAGAGAGAGAGAGAGAGAGAGAGAGACAGAGAGAGACAGAGAGAGACAGAGAGACAGAGAGTAATGGATCCTAGCTTCTGCAACTACCTTTCACTTCCTACCTAAGCCCAGCTTATTTATTCATTTAACTGAAAAGAATTTTAAAGGGCTTATTTCTGTAGTATTTAAAGCACTTTCCTCACAGCATCTGTATGAAGTAGGTAGTCCAAATCTGATCATCTTCATTTTGTATATGAGAAAGCTGAGGTTAAAAGATGCTACTTGCTACTGTGTTATAGTGATGAAAGAAGAGAAGGGAATTGAAAGAATGAGCATTGACAAAGAATGATCTATTAGTTGCCAAATCCATTGCCCCTCTCTCAATCCTCATTCTCCCTGATCTCTCTGCAGCCTTTGACATTGCTGATCACACTCTCCTCCTGGATATTTTCGTCTCTCTAGGTTTTCCAGACACCACTCTCTCCTGGTTCTCCTCCTACCTGTCTGACCGCTCCTTCTCTGTCTCCTTACCTGGATCCTCCTCCAGAGCCCACTCTCTAACTGTAGGTGTCCCTCAGGGTTCTTTCCTGGGCCCTCTTCTCTTCTCCCTCTATAATACTTCACTTGGTGATCTCGTCATCTCCTATGGATCTAAATACCATCTCTAGATGGATGATTCTTATATCTACTCATCCTGCCTCAATCACTCTGCTGACCCCCAGTCTCACATCTCCAGCTACCTTTCAGGCACCTCAGACTGGATGTCTCGTAGACATCTTAAACACAAAATGTCCAAAACAGAGCTCTATCTCCCCCCCCTAAACCTTTCAGCCCCCTTGTCCCACCTTCACTGTTACTGTAGAAGGTGACTATCATCCCAATCCCTCAGGCTTTCAACCTAGTAGAATCCAGTCCTGGATTCCTCACTATCTCTCACTGTCATGAAAAGTGCTGCTATAAATATTTTGGAGTACATGGGCACTTTCTTCTTATCCAGGGCTTTCTTGGGGTACAAGCTCAGTAAAGGAGTCTCTGTTTCAAGAGGTATGGATATTTTAGTCACTTTATTTACATAATTTCAAATTGCTTTCCAAAATAGTTGTCACAGCTCCATCAGCAATGTATTAGCTGTACCTATCCTTACACAGCCTCTCCAACATTGACTATTGCTCTTTTTGTCGTTTTTGCTAATTTGCAGGGTGCGAGTTGAAACCTCACATATACCTTAATACAGATATGGGATCACATTTCAATTTAGATTTATCTTATTATTAGTGATTTGGACCACTTCTTATGTCTTTGTGAATACTTTGTAGTTAAGAAGAAGAGGGAAAGTGATCTATTTGTAGATGATATGATGATTTAGAGAATCACCAGAGTGGTTAAGCAACTTGCCCATGGTCACACAGCTAGTAAATAGCAGAGCCAGAATTTTTCCTTTAAGCCTAGCATTTTAATAATTATATTGCCCTTCTTCATTCTTGGAGCATCTGCTACATGCAAGACACCGTGCAAGGTACACTAGGTAGGGGCTAGAAAGTTGAATAGTCCAGAGAAGTTGATTTAGGTCAGAAGTGCAATAGTCAAAGTTTTAAAATTTTTCTGCATTTTGGCTTTGCAAGGTTACATGGAAACTAAGCACTCTCCCAACTTCTTGCCATTGTTACCTAGAAGGATGGGCAAAAGAGTGAATGGGGGTTCACTGGGATCCTACATTTCATGGTGTAGTGATCAAGCTGACTTTGCAGTCCAAGGACCTGGGATGGAATCCCAGTAAATCCTGAGTAATCTTGGACAAGTCATTGAACCTCTCCGCGCCTCATCTGTAAAATGTGCATGATTTGTCCTGGATTAGGGGTTCTTAATCTGGGGTCCATGAACTTGGATTTTAAAAATATTTTGATAACTGTATTTCAATATAGGAATATATCCTGTGCCCCTACAGTATGGCTGATGGTCCCTGACCACCACCCCCTGAACCACTGGGGGAAGGCAGTCAAAGGAGAGGGATGACATAGCAATTGGACACTGAGGGTTGGTCAGAGGAGGATCCAGGAGGATTACTGTGTGAAGAAAGTCACCAACCAGGCCAAAGCCCTGGTTGTCCTGCCCTAGTCTTTTGTAGCTTTGGTCTTTTGGTTCAATATAATTAGTTTCCTTTGTAATTTTATTTTTTTGTTTTAAAATATTATCGAGAGAGGGATCCATAGCCTTCACTAGACTGTCAGAAAGGTCTATGACACACACAAAAAAGTTAAGATGGTCTAGAAGGTCTCTAAGGCTTATCCCAACCTTGAATCCTGTCATCCTATGAATAACTATCAGTAACTAACAAATGACCTTTGACAAATCACTGGATGTTCATGGGTCTCAGTTCCTTCACCTGTACAATGAGCAGCATTAAATTAGATGATCTTTAAGGTTATTTCTCCTTCTAACAACTTGTGAATTCATTTTGGGGGAAGAATTTTGCCTACTTCTCCCTGACAGATAATTATAACCTTGACCTTGACTCTTTTTCTGGGTCTTCCCCAATATAGTTTCTCCCAGTCCTATCCGTTTTCCTCCTTCCTGCTCCTCTACATTGGTCCTTATGCTACAGAGAAGCTAAATGAGATTGATATCCTGTAAAGGTAAAGGCAATTAATAATGATAATAGCAATAATATTAAGAATAAAAATGATAGCTAGCATTTGAATAGTGCTTTAGGGTTGCAAAGTGTTTTACAGGCATTATCTCATTTGTTGTTCTCTATAACCCCGTAAAGTAGGTGCTATTATTGTTGTTCAGTCACGTCCAACTCTTCGTGACCCCATTTGGAATTTTCTTGGCAAAGGTACCAGGGTGGTTTCCATTTCCTTCTCCAGCCTATTTTACAGTGGGGAAACTGAGGCCAACAGGGTTAAGTGACTTGCCTAGGGGTCACACATCTAGGAAGTATCTGAGGCTGGATTTGAACTCAGGAAGAGGAATCTTTCTGACTCCAGGCCCAGTGCTGCCCAGGTTCTATTATCCATACTTACTACTAATAAACCTAGGCTCAGAAAGGTTATGTGCCTTGCCCAGAGTCAAGCAGTCAATATGTGCCAAAGGCAAGACTTAAACCCTGGTCTTCCCAAACTCAAGGCCAGCTCTGTCCATGATTCCATTCTGTCTCTTATCCTGGGATATATGGCTATCTAGTTTGTAAAGAATGGAGGAGAGGAGTTTGTATAGGTAACTATGTCATAGAAGGGGTTTTCCAGTTTTTTGGTCAGTTACCCTCATGCTGACATTTGGTCCGCATGGATGTGCTCTAATACAGATATGGGCTCACATTCAAGGAAGGTGAGAGCTGGAAGGGACCTTAAAGATTTACTCCCCTCGTTTTATAGGTGAGGAAACTGGGGTCCAGACAGAGGGATTTACTGGCCTAAAGTCACATACCCAGTTAGTGCTAGAGCCTTTGTTAGAATGTGGGTCTTTTGCAGAACTACAACTAAAAGTTCTTGCTTCTATAACAAATTCAAAGGGGAAAATGGCAGAGCAGAGGATAGTTGGCCATGGGGGAAGATATCAGGAGAGGGGGCAGCTATGTACCAGAGAATCTGTATTGTGCTCCTGTAGTATGAATGATGGTCTCCAACCTCCCCCTACCTCCAACCCCCAGGAGAAGGTGACCAAAGGAGAGGTGTGGGATAGCCATTGGACCCTGGGGTGGACCAGAAGGAAACGAGCTATAGTAGCTCACTGTATGAAGAAAGTCCCCTTACCTATATTGGTGCTCTGGACCAAAGCTTTAGCTGTCTTGCCCTAGTTATAGCTTTGGTCTTTTGATTTCTAGTGCATCATCCTTTTTAATAAGCCATGCTGCCTGCACATACCTCCCCCCACCCACATCCCACATGTAGTACACACGTGCCATTGAAGGGATTCCCTTAAGATTTAATGGGTGTGTGTTAGGATGCCTAAAAGTGGGATAATTGCACTTTGTCCCTTTTTAGAGGGAAGAAGGGAGCGTTAGAGATCTCAGCCCCCAGGTCCTCAGATTAGTGATCTGATATGCATATGTGCCCAGCCATCTTCGGGCAGGATACTGTACTCTGCAAACATGTTCCCCAAAAAGCACTGAATTTGAGTCCAAGAGTCCCAGCTCTGCTTCTTCATGTGTTTATGATCTTGGACAAGTCATTGAATCTTTTTGCTTTGATTCCTCATCTGTAAGATAATAAGATTGGATTAGACCAAAGGTTCTTAGCTCTTTTTCTTTTTCTTTTCTTTTTCTTTTTTTTGTATCATGAGTCTCTTTGGCTGTCTGGTGGACTTTTTCTCAGAATAATGTTAAGTGTTTAAAAGTGTATGCAAAGGATCACAAGGGAAACAAAGTATACTGAAACAGTGATCAAAATATTAAAAAAAAATGTTCACAGGGGCAGCTAGGTGACGCAGTGGATAGAGCACCGGCCCTGGAGTCAGGAGGACCTGAGTTCAAATCCAGCCTCAGATATATAATACTCACTAGCTGTGCGACTCTGGGCAAGTCACTTAACCCCAATTGCCTTACCAAAAAAAGTCCACAAAGCCTAGGTTAAGATCCCCTCGGACTAGATAATGATTGAGGTCTCTTCCAGATGGATATCTATCATCCTTTAATTCCATCCATGCACAGGCACCTCCTGTAGCTTTTTTGTTAATTCAGTTTATCTGTTCTTTCATTGAGCCTCCTCCTCCACTCTAGTGTTCTAATGTGTCTTAGAAGACAGTCAAAGCTGTGCTGAAGAGCCCTGAAGGAAGAAGGGGGTTGGCATTGGCTCTAGCCCAAAATTTGAGTCTGGGGGCTGCTATCTTCTAGGACCTGGCTCCAGGCTCTTCCCGCTGTGACCTCAAAGAGAACCTGCTGAAAGGAGGATGTGCACTTGAATTCGTTGAATTTCCGGTCAGTCAAATCAACATCCTGGAAGCTAGACCTCTCAGTAATACTGGTTCTGGAGATACTTCCAAGATCACCCAAGTCAGCCCCCAGAAGATTGAGCTTCGACTGAGGCCAGGTAAGACATGGGAGGGAGCCTCCCCATCCCATTCAGGTAAACCCTGAGCAAGCTATGGATACCAGGAGCCAAGGAGTTCAGGACAGGGATTGAGTATGAGGGATACAGTAATGTAAGTGATGGAAAATTAGACAGATGGGTAGGGAATGGTGGATGGTGGAGAAGAAGTAAAGAATTATGGAGGAGTAGAGATTTGGGGATGGAAGATGAGGATAGAGAAAATGAGAGGCAAGGGATAGGGATATATCAGGATAGAGGGATAGGAGGGGTCAGGATAGAGGTTAAAACTGCCCACTTGAGAACACTGAGTTGAACTTTCTAATCAAATCAATAATGTACCAGGGAACTATGTGCTGGGCAATGAGGAATGTCCAAAGAAATAGATAACAAGATCCCTGTTGTCAATCAGTTTATAGTCTAGTCTTGTTTGACTCAGGTTCTGGGTTCTGGTTGGTGATAGACAAGACAAAGAGGAGAGATCAGAGTCTCTGGAGGATGGAAAGTGGGGGAAAGAGGAGGGAAGAATGTAGAATGACTGGAGAAGAAAGGATAAGAAACATGAGGAAGAGAACAGAGGATCCTTAGAGATAAGCAAGAGGACAGAGTACCTACAAAAGGCATGGTTGCATCATACTTCATGAGGCATGGAACTGAAACACTACATTGTATAGAATCATATTATAGGCCCTTCCAAGACACAAAGAAAGAAAAGAAAGGGTCCCTGTCCCCAGGGAAGTTATAGTTTCATTGAGGAAACAATATACACTTACCTAAAATCATGGAGAAGCAACATGGTCTAGGGGAAAGAATACTGACCTTGATATCAGATAAATCTAGGTTTGAGCTCTTCCTCTGCCTTTAACAGTGTAACTCTGGACAAGTTATGGCCTCTTTTTCCAGCCAGTCAGTCATGTCTAACTGTCCATGATCCCATTTGGGGTTTTCTTGGCAAAGATACTGGAGTGGTTTTAGTAATTTCCTTCTCCAGATCATTTTACAGATGAGGAAACTGAGGCAAACAGGGTTAAGTGACTTATCCAGGGTCACACAGCTAGTAAGTGCCTGAGGCCTGATTGGAACTGATGTATTTCTGACTCTAGGCCTGGCACTCTATCCACTGTGCTACCTAGCTGCTCCAACAGGAGAAACCGGGGTTCACATTCCCTCACCATCTAGCTGTTTGACCCTGGGGAAGCCAATCTTTCTGGATCTCAGTTATCTCCTCTGTAAAATGGGGATGATATGGCTAGCATTTTCTATTTCATACAATTATTAGGGGAAAACTGCTTTGTAAATTGTAAAGAACAAGGTAAAGGGAGTGTTATCAAATGTGAATAGCAGAGTACATCAGAAGTCTGCTAATTGGGGCCATGCCCAATGCAGCAATCCCCTCTTTAAAGTCCCTTAAAGATAGTCAACATCCTGCTTCATAAGTGTGATGGATAATGACTGAGGAAACAATTCAAGCTCTATGATTTATCAGCAAAACAGGCATAATAAATGGTTCCATGGACTTCCCAGTCCAAAGACCTTGAATACATAGTGAGACAGATTTTTTTTCTATTAAAAACAATTTATCAAATAAGACCAATTAATTAAAAGAAAACAATTAACCAGGACACAAACAAAATTAGGTCATTTGATTTCTAATTGGAGAAAAGACTAGGGGCTTTCCAAATTGAGAGGAGAAAAGAAAACAGGTATATTTCCCTGAAATCAGAAGAAGAGTTGTCCTATTCCACACCACAAAGAAGGAAGTAGCTTACCACTCTAGTATCTTTGCCAAGAAAACCCCAAATGGAGTCATGAAGTGACTTGGTCATGACTGAAATGACTGACTGGGTTTCTGGTCAGCATAACCTAGTTCCTTAGTTAAAGGTCTCTAAGCGGTAGGTAGAGGTGGTCCAGCTTCCCAGACACGCAGGGCTAGGTTTGAACAATGCAATAAAGTTTTCTCCCATTTCCTTTAATTGAATAAAATTTTCTCACAAGAAAGAAGTTGGACTAGACCCATAACTGGATAGAAAGGGAACTGAGCTAGTTCCAGAATTGAGTCAGAAGATGGAGTCAGTGTGGTTCACTCAATTCCCACATAGGACAATCCTTTCCATTGGCAGATAGCCCTCATGATTAGAAAGTTCTTCTTATGATGAGCCAAAAACAAAAAATTAACTAAAGATCAATGGGAAAACAAAGCGCAAATGAGTCCAACATAACCTCTTTGTGAATATTGAGGGGAAGCATGGTATAAGATGATCTGAAGGAGGGTGGGGCTAATCTGGCGAGACTTCCTGGAGGAGGTCAATTTTGAACAGGCTTTTGAAGGAATTGACAACTCAAATTAATTCAAAAAACATTTATTAAGGAACTACAATGTCTAAGACATTGTACTGGAGATACAAGGGCAAAACTGAAACAGTCTGCCCTCAAGGAGCTTATGTGTTTGTTGAGGGGCATATCTGGACAATGACCTGTGTCTGCAATTGAATAAAAGAAAGAGGATTTGGTCTGGGCTCTATTTGGGAAGCTGCACAGTGCCTTTCTTTCCGTTCATGCCATCACTACCCTAGTTCAGGCTCATATCACCTCTCCACTGTCCTATTTCATCAGCCTTCTCATTCAGCTCTCTGTCTCACTTTCCCCACTCCAAATCTTTCTCTACGTAGCCGCCAAAATGATTTTCCTAAAGAGCAGGTCTTATTATGACATCTCCTCCTGTTCAGTAAACTCCCATGGCTCCCTATTACCTCTAGGATCAAATATGAACTCCTCAGTTTGACATTTAAAACTTTTCATATTTCCATCCTATCTTTCCATTCTATTTATGCATTCTCTCTCCCAACCCTACAATGCCTCAAGCTGGCTTTACTGTTCTCACTCAGCACTCTCCATCTCCTGTCTCGGGGCTTTTGCATTGGCTGTCCCCCATGTGTAGAACACAACCTCTCCTCACCTAACCTCCTGGAATCCTTGGTTTCCTTCAAAACTCAGCTCAGGCATAACCTTCTGCAGGAAGTTTTTCCTAGTCCCCCAATGCCAGCTGCTAGTGCCTTGTCTCCTAGTGTTGTTTTGTGCATATTCACATACAAAGCACTTTTTTTAGAGTGTGCGTACAGAGAATTTTAGTTTTTAAGAAGAACATTTATTGAACACTCAGTCAGGGAGGTCATTATTTTTATTCACCGAACTCAAGAAATTGGAATGTAACTTAAATTTTAAAAATTAAGAATGAAACTTAATAAGACTCAAAATACCAAAATTTTTGAGGCATTAGGATACACACATATACACATATATACATATGTACGCATACACACACATGTATGTGTGTGTGTGTGTATATATATATGTACACATATATATATATGTACACATATATATATGTACACATATATATATGTACACATATATATATATGTACACACACACACACACATATATATATATATATATATATATATATATATATATATATATATATAAACTGAGTTGGAGAAGGAAATGGCAAGCCATAGCAGTATCTGTGCCAAGAAAACCCCAAATGGGGTCATGAAGAGTCGGATGTGACTGAAAAATGACTGAACAACAATGTGTGTGTGTGTGTGTGTGTTGCTTTTATTCATCATCAAATGGTTGTTGTTCAGTTGTTTTTCAGTTGTGTCTGACTCTTTGTGACCCCCTTTGGGGTTTTCTTGGCACAGATACTGGGGTGGTTTGCTATTTCCTTCTCCAGCTCATTTTACAGATGAAGAAACGGAGGCAAACGGGGTTAAGTGACTTGCCCAGGGTCAAACAGCTAATAAGTGTCTGAGGCCAGATTTGAACTCAGGAAGAGGAGTCCTCCTGACTCCAAGCCTGGTACTCTATCTACCCTGCCAGCTAGTTGTTCCAACCTCAAATTAAGGGGGCCAAATAACATGGAGAATCAAAGAAAATTTATTAGTGTCCTAGGAGGATAGGATTTAAACCTGGAGTCAGTCTCTCTCTCTCTCTCTCTCTCTCTCTCTCTCTCTCTCTCTCCCCTCTCCTCTCCACAGACACATATACACATATGTGTATACTCAGATATATAAATGTATATACATATATGTACATGTTCTCTTCCCCATTACATTAGCATGAAAGCACATTGAGGGCTTTTGTCTCAGTATACCCAGCACCTAGTGCAGTTCTTGGGGCTTAATAAATCCTTGTTGAAGAGGCTGACAATTACTAGCATTTCTATAGCTCTTTAAGATTTGCAAAGGACTTTACATACGTTATCTCATTTGATCCTTACAACAACCCTGTGAAGTAGATGCTATTATTATTCCCATTTTACAGATGAGGAAACTGAGGCTGTGAAGTTAAGTGAATTGCCCAAAGTTGCATAGGTAGTAAATGTCCTGAGATAGGATTTGATCTCAGGTCTTCCTGTATCCAAGTCTAACCTTGACCCTACTATGTTTCCTAGTTCCAACAATTCCAAAATGCCTATCACTATAAAAACCTTTCTGTACTATGCAATATTTGTCTCATGAAATTATCTGTGGCTCATGGAACACCACAGTCTCAGAACTGAAGGACAACCCTGGTGTGCTCTTCCCCATTATAATGTGCTGTCCTTGAGAGCCTGGACTGGTTTTTTTTTTTTGCCTTTCTTTGTATCCTCAGTGCTTAGCAAAATGCCTGGTATATAGTCGGTGCCTAATAATTGCTAGTTGACTGACTGACACAGATAAACAGATTGAAGGTCTTTTGAGGGGGAGAGATCATTTGGAGACTGGAATGGCAATCAGGGAAGACGCTAGGGAAGAGATGGCCCCTGAGCTGCAAGGGAAAACCAATGGGGCCCAGAGCCACGTGTCTTTCAGTTGCTATATATGCCCTGGAGTCTGTACTGAAACTTGTGCCTTTCTCCCTTCCAGATGATTCTCAGACCTTCTCGGTGGAAGTGCGGCAAGTGGAAGATTACCCAGTAGACATCTACTATTTGATGGATCTGTCCAACTCCATGCGGGATGACCTGCAAAAAATTCAGTCTCTGGGGACTAAGCTGGCCTCTGAGATGCGCAAGCTTACCAGTAACCTACGCATAGGCTTTGGGGCCTTTGTGGACAAGCCCATGTCCCCATACATGTACATCTCTCCTCCAGAGGCCCTCAAAAACCCTTGTTTTGAGTAAGTCTCTACCACTGAGACACTGGATGGACCGTTGGACGGGATTGACTCCTGGGTCCCGTGTTCAGTACTGTGGTTGCTTTGCTGATTGGTCATGGGCAGGTTTCTTTTACTCTCTGACTCAGCTTCCCCGTGTGAGATTTCAGGCTGATCTAGTCAATTTAGGGTGCTACAGACAGTGGTCAGTGTCTCAGGGGTGCTTTCATCCATCCTCAAATGAAAGAGCCAAGATAGTATGGAAAGTCAAAGGAAATGTATCAGTGTCCTAGGAGTAATGATGCTGCTGCTAATGATCATAATAATAGCTGCTAGCACTTATATGATGCTTTAAAGTTTACAAATCACTGTATGTGTTATTTCCTTTGATCCTCATAACAACCCTGAGAAGGTAGGGGCTATTATTACCCCCATTTTACAGATGAGGAAACTGAGGCAGACAGCCATTAAATGACTTTCCCAAGGTCACACAGCTAGCGTTTGAGGCAGGATTTGAATTCAGGTCTTCCTGATTCCAGGTCTAGTGCTCTATCCACTGTGCCACTGAAGTGCCTGGCAGAACTAAAAGGGTTGTTTTTATTAACTAGTCTAACCTCTTTATTTTACAGATGAGGAAACTGAGGTGCAGAAGGTGAAGTGACTTGACCTTGTTTGAGCATAAGCAAATGCCCGTCAACAATCAGTAATAATAACGACAATCATAATAATAGTGGACACTTTAGAAAGTATATTTCTTTAATACACTTTATGTGTATGATCTCATTTGATTTGTAGTTAGTACACTCTGCCTGTTGTCAATACTTTAGTTCTCAGCCATATTGTCATATTTAACTGATGGCGGCTGTCTGCTTTAGAGGCTGTTGGTACAACTAAATAATGCTTGTTGATCTTGACGGTGGAAATGTAGGCTTGATATGTGCTTTCTATGTGCTCAGCGTCCTTTGTATAAGCAGGAGCCGTCAGTTGAATGAGAAAACTATTAAGAATAGAAGTGTTGACCAAGGCATAATTTAACTGATTTACTGTTGTGTGCTGTCCATTAACCAGTTGGCAGATTTTTTTTCCTTTAAGGGTGAAGTTAGCACATAGTCTAAGCATAGGTTTAATGCACACTGAGGCCTGAATTACCAACGTACTGGTGGCTACATAGACCTAGCCTTCCCCCTACCCTGTGTAGTCTTTCCTTCGAGGAATAATTACCTGAGGAGTCCTCTATCCTTCCCTAGAATGAAGACAACCTGCTTACCCATGTTTGGCTACAAGCATGTGTTGACTTTGACGGATCAGGTGATGCGCTTCAATGAGGAAGTGCGAAAGCAGAATGTGTCAAGGAATCGGGATGCTCCAGAAGGTGGATTTGATGCCATAATCCAAGCTACGGTCTGTGATGTGAGTGTGGGCGATGTGGGTCAAGGACTGAGCAGCTAGCATTACATGTTGGGGAGGAAGGATCTCTGGTGGGTAGCAGAGCTCAAGACGGTTGATGTGGCTGGAGCTGGAGTCATGTATGAAGTGTTACTGTTATTCAGTCTACTCTCCTGAGCCCCTCTGAATACCTCATGGGATATCGTCTGTTCCTCTGAGGACCTGAGCAATCTCAGGTGCTTTGGGAAAATAATTTTTTAAATTTCACTGAACATAACCCAACATTGGTGGTTGGGATTGGCTTACTCCCAGAATAAGTGATGAGATTATTTCCCTCCCATCAAATTCTGTAGGAAGTGCCCCTGAGGACCTGAGCATAACATCCATGCTCAGTGGGTATTTAATGATCATCATAGACCGGTACAGATATGTGCATTATTGTTGAAGCATCATTTGGTTGTAGGGACCTCTTAGCTTTGGATATTTTTCTTGGGAGAGGGGAAGAAACATTGGGAGAAGGTGTTGATATTGGATAGCATGGTTGTAAGTATGGAAAAAGGTTATGCTCTGGGTGGAGTTTTCTACCCTTTCTTCCTCTCTCTCTTCTTCCCTCTCCCCTTCTTACTTTCTCTCCCTCTGTAGATGCTTTATTAGTCCTTAACATTGAACATCAATTCAAACAACCAAACTTGCTTACTAACTTAATTCCTTATTAATTATTATTGAATTAATTTCAATTCCTAAAGTATCATAACACTATTTCAGTTACTCCCTATAAGTCTCCATCAGTATTCTTTGTCCATTCTTATTTCCTTTTCCTATTATCTGGGCTCAGTGTGTACAGTCTTTTAGTTCTACTTTTTTTCTTTGTATAAAGGTCTTTCCAGAATTCATGTATTCCTCATATGTAATTGCATTATAGTAATCCATTTTTCTAATGTATGCAATACTCAAAAAGATTAGTGAGCTCATTGATATGAATGTTTCCTCCAGCCAGGCAGATTGCACCTCCTTGGTGCCTTCCCTGCCTGTGGGATCCTTGTTCAGTATATGTCCATAAGCCGAGTTCCATCCAGCTTTCCAGGGGCCTTCTTCAGTTTCTCTTAACATTGGGAGGATACCAGTGGAGCACACAGGCTGTCCACTGGTCATCCCTTGCATTTGCCCATCATTTCCCCCCCCCCCATCACACATTTTTGTGATGATTTATATCTGAGTTTATTTAATCATTCCCCTGTTTTAAGACATTTGCGTTGTTTCCAGTTATTTGCAACTGCATCAAATGCTTCTAGGAGAGGCAGGGTGGCCCAATGGATAGAGAGAAGCCTTGAAATCAATAAGAGCTGGTCAAGCCCTGCTCAACATGAACTGGCTGTGTGACCCTGGGCAAGTCCCTTTACTTCTCAGGACCCTAGGTAACTCTCTAAGACAATTTGCTGAGGAGGTGGCAACCTGAATTAGTAGAGGGGGTTTCCTTGCCTAAGAATTCCCTATAGCAGTGTAATCATAGGTCCGGTTCTGATCGCTGTAATTCTGGGATGACAATCTTTCATCACATAACTTTTTAAAAATAACACTCCCAAAGCATATTCCTAATGAGGGAATTATTGTGTGTTCAGCCTTTTCTTGTATTCATCTGTTCAGGGCTGAGTCCTTGAACTATGTTCTCTTCCTATAACATAGCTGAGACTTTGCTGGCTCTTTTTTTTTTTTTAAATAGGAAAAGATTGGCTGGAGGAATGATGCATCCCATTTGCTGGTGTTCACCACTGATGCCAAAACCCACATTGCTCTGGATGGGAGGCTATCAGGAATCGTTCAGCCCAACGATGGGGAATGCCACATTGGCAGTGACAATCACTACTCTGCCTCCACCACTATGGTGAGTTCCCCCAAGCCCTGCTATCCCTCCACTCCCCACCAACAACACCACTCTCATTTCCATTGATTTCAGCACCTGAGACATTCTGAAAGTCAAATAAAATCCTGAAGTTAAGAGGCAATCCTTTCTTCTCTGCATCAGCTACTACCTAATTAAAACAATGTGCCTGGTTGGGATAACATAACAGAGAAAATGGAGAGGGTTTACTGGAGTAGGACTGAGATGAACAAAGGGTGGAGAACAGATCCTTTGGGTAAAAATTAAATGGATTGTTTAGCTTGGAGAAGGGAAGGTTCAGGAGTGATTAATTGTCATCAAGTCTATGAAGGTTTTAAAAATTCATTTCTTTCTCCCTCCTTCCTTCTCTATCTCCCTCCCTCCTTCCTTCTCTCTCTCTCTCTCTTTCTTTCTTTCTTCCTTTCTTTCTTTCTTTCTTTCTTTCTTTCTTTCTTTCTTTCTTTCTTTCTTTCTTTCTTTCTTTCTTTCTCTCTCTCTCTCTCTCTCTCTCTCTCTCTCTCTCTCTCTCTCTTTCTTTCTTTCCTTTCTTTCTTTCTTGCTTGCTTGTCTCCATTGTATTCCCTAGATAGTATAGTGGATAAAGCATTGAACTTGGAGTTGGAAAGATCTGATTTTGAATCCTTCCTCAGACTCTTACTAGCTGTGTGACTCTGACCCTGTAATCACTTTCAGCCTCAGTTTCTTTATCTGTAAATTGGGGATAATAATAGCACCAAATCAGCAAGATAACATATGTAAGATGCTTTGCAAAAAATGTGCTATGTGAGTTGCTAGATATTATTATTCATTCATTAATTTATTTTCAAAAAGCTTAATCAGCATCTTTTGTTTTCCTACCCCTGTCATTTCTTGATATGTCACCATAACCCAACACCCAAAACCCATAGGTCTTTCCTTGGAACCAAGAAAAACAGTTAAGCAGAATCAAGTGACCCAGCCGCCATATTTGATAATGGTACAACATTGCATACCCATAGTCTCACACCTCTCCAGTGAAAGGAGGGTAGCACATTTCTACATCTCCAAGAAGTTTTTATTTTAGAGAGGCAGAATGGACTAATCTTTTCTCATGTCCATGCAAATAAGATGAAAGGTATGGTGGAATTTTCAGTTGGACATAAGTTTCTGACTTTTTGGGTGACACTCAGTGACTGAGTGAGGGTCTAGAGTTTGAAGAAGAAATTATACAAGCACCAGTTCTGGACAGTTTAATCATCTGTTTCCTTAAGGATGGAGAGTGGGACCACGTGATCTCTCCAAGTCTCTTCCAGTGCCTGGGATTCAAAGATCAGCTTCAGCACCATGACCATCACCAACACTTAATCCACATTGTGTATAGGGTAATCCAATCAATTAGTCAGCAAGTATTGAGCAGGAAAGGAGATGGGGCTTAAGCTGAAAGAGAGATATGGGGAGTATTCCAGGTGTATGGGGATGTTACATGAGCCAAGGCATGATACTAATGGGAGCAGGTAGGTTAGGGCCAGATAGTGGAGAATCTTGAAAGCCAGGCTAAGAAGTCAGACATCATGGTGTAATGGATAGTGGTGGACTTGAAGCAAGGAAGACCTAGGTTCAAATCCCATCTCCGATACTTTTTACTTGTATGATACTGGGCAAATCACCTAAACTTTCAAAACCTCAGTTTCCTCAGATGTAAAGTGAGAGGTTTGGACTAGATGGCTTCTATAAAGTCTCTTTTAGTTCTCAATCTATGATTCTATGAACTTGTTCATGAAAGAGATAACAGAGGAAGGAGGTGCTCAGTTTTGGCATCACTGACCTGGACCTTTTTACCTAGTCTTTCTTTGAGTCCCTTTTCTGGTATTTGACCCAGGATAGCTTCTCTTTTGCCCTGCCTAAGTCACGCCACTGAGTCACAGAATGGTTTTTTTAGGATCACTGGATGAAAACAACTTAGCCATTTACTAACCCACAAACTTTTTTTTTTTTAACAGGACTATCCATCTCTGGCGCTGATGACTGAGAAGCTGTCTCAGAAGAACATCAACTTAATCTTTGCAGTGACTCGAAATGTGGTCAGCCTCTATCAGGTGACCCTCCTTGTTTCATTTGATTCTCACAACCCTGTAAGATAGTGCAGTGTCTACTATCCCTGTTTTACAGAGGAGGTACCTGAGACTCTTTATACTTGGTATTTTTACTCAGATCTCCTGGCCAGCTCCATGATATCAAAGCAGCTTTCCCAATCGATGCCTTCTGGGCTTCCTGAAGTTCAGATGCTAGGACATTCTTCAGGGTGTCTGCCTTTTAGATGTGATTTCCCAGTGAATGCTACCTAGGACCCAAAGAACGCCAACCCTGGGGCCTGAACCCTTTCCCTGCTCCCAGAGCTTGTCTTCTGTCTAGCAGGCTAGCAAAAGTGAATAGTGGATGTCCTGGGCAATGAGTAGGGCAATGGTCAATGGGCAGTGGGTGGTACAGCCTTTCTAGAGCATGACTTGGAAGAGGCATAGGGAAGATGTGTTGGGGGTCAAGACGTATGTGTGTCATGGTGTTGTCTCAAAAGAATTCACTTAGGCTATCTCCAAGTCAAGTAAAGGCATTTATTCAGGATTAGGCTTTCTCCTTAGAGGAGGCAGGTATAGTAGCACCTTAAGGAGGTAGCAGCCCCCTAAAGGAGGCAGAAGCAGCAGCAGCCTACTGGGCAAAGCTAGGATTTATATAGAGGCAAAGTGCCTTCTTAACAGGAAGATGAGGTACACAAGGGGTAATAGCATCAATGTTCTGTGCATGCTATTTCCCATTATGCAGTCTGATCCTCCTCAAAGGGGGGCTACATTACTATATATGTGAGATGTTAATTAGAACTAAGGTTTCTGTCAAACAAGCTAGGTGGGCATTGAACTTTCTCAGAGTGGGTAATGTCCTGAGAAAGTCCCTCGATCAGTTATCAGCTAAGTGCTAGAATGTGATTGGTTAGTTCAGGGCTTCTGGGGTCTTATGTAGACACAAGTTATTGTCAAGGGCATTAGCTCAGGGGTTCTGGATACAAGTTTGTTGTCAAGGATACCAGTTATTCAAGGGCATTCCTCATCAGATGGTTGAGGAAGCCACTCATGGGACAAAATGGCACCGGGGTACTGAACTGCACAAGATTCTAGGGTTTGGCAGTTAGGAAAGGTGACAAGATCTAGCACTGAGGCAGCTGAGGTAGAGCTAAGGGAGCTAGGTCTGGAGTGAGAGGACCTAGCTCTGGATCTTGGGTCTGCTATTTATTCTTTGTGTGACCTTGGGGAGGATGCTCACTTCTTTCTTGTGATTCAGTCTCTTCCTCTGTAAGTTGGGAATAACTTTTGCTGCCTCTCATAGGGGAGGCAGTATAGCATAGTGGTTACAGGGCCACCTTTGGAGTCTTGAAGGCCTGGGCTTAAGACCGATCTCTGCCATATACTAGCTTGGTGGTGGTGGGAAGGCCCTTAGCCTCTCAGTGCACCAGGCATTTCTCTAAGATGACAACTTATAGACAAAATGTCAATCAGTATTGATCCAGGCAATTTCCATACTGGGAGTTCCTTACACTATTGAAAGTACTCGTTTAGAACAAAAGCAAGAAAAAAAGCCAACCTATCTCAGAGAAGTGTCGTTGACCATAAAGTGCTTAATAAATGTCCACTGTTATTATTAGGGAGTGGAAGGACATGTTTATACATGTGACCCTGGGTAAGAGTTCAAAGACTGTGATTGGCATGGTGTTTACTCTTCTTATTAAGGAATGAGATGTAGGCTGTCTTGTTTCTCCTGCTACTATTCACTGTAGACTCTCTGTTAGGTTTGGAGAATACCTAGGGAAGTTGCCCTAGAACAGAGGTTCTCAACTGTTTCTCAGTCATTTTTTGGCAGTCTGGGGAAGCCCTTTTCAGAATATTATTTTTAATACATAAAATAAAATATGTTGTTGTTGTTGTTTATCCTTTGCTCTCCAAGAGGACCGATGACATCGTGAGGGTGATATCTGGACTAATTTGATGGCTTAGAGTAAAATAAAATACGTAGGATTACAAAGCAAGTACATTAAAATAACAATCAAAATAGAAACAAACAAATTCCTGAACCCCAGGTTAAGAACCTTTGGCCTACCAGGTCTGTTTTACTTTGTTCATCTGCAGAGGGTTGTCAATGATTGCTGGGTATTTTCCTTCTAGAATTATAGTGAACTCATTCCAGGGACCACGGTGGGTATGCTGTCTGCAGATTCCAGCAACGTCCTTCAGCTCATCGTCGATGCCTATGGGGTGAGTGGGTCATGTCCTTGGGAAGCCAAGCTGTCAGGAGTGATTTTGGTGGGTAGGAAATGGAGCAGGAAAGGCTTCTTGGAGTGGGCATGGAGTTAGAGGTGGGAAGGGAGAACAAGTATCCCAGAAAACAGCCTATGCAAAGATACAGAGGTGGGAATAGTGTTTTAGATGGGTAGTAACAAGTAGATCCATTTGTGGAGTTTTTGAAAGGGATACTGTGAAATCAGTTCAGAAAGAGAGCCAGTTGTGAAGGGCTCTAAATGCCAGACAGAAGAATTTGTATTTATTCCAGACTCTATGGGAAGCCGACATGTTTGGCAAAAGTGCCCCACTGGTTTCTGCTTTCCCCAGAGCCTAGCAGTCCCTGGGAGAAGAATGTGGGAAGAGTGGGCAAGATCCTAGGAATGGAAGCTTTAGTACTTTTCCCCATCCCCCATGAAAACCTCAATGTCGTCTCATAGCTAGGCTGAGACCATGGGCTCTCTTGTGTGGTCTTGCCATGGTCAGCACTGGGCCCTTCTAACACCCCATTTTTGGAGAACTGCAGGGGCATGGGTAGATCACTCCTTTTCAGTTGTTCCTTATCCTCTCCCCCCTGAATTCTACTCAGAAAATCCGTTCTAAAGTGGAGCTGGAAGTCCGTGACCTCCCCGAGGAGCTGTCCTTGTCCTTCAATGCCACCTGCCTCAATAACGAGGTCATCCCAGGCCTCAAGTCCTGCGTTGGCCTCAAGATTGGAGATACAGTGAGAACCTTTGGCCAGTGGACAAAGCTGGCTATCTCTTGTTTCTGTGGGTGCCATTTTCCCCACCCCCAATGCTCCCCAATTCCTACTCTGTAGTTGTAATTTACATGGGTTATAACAATAATTATAATAGCTAACATTAATATAGCACTTACTGAGTGCCAGACACTGTGTTAAGCTTTACAGTTATCAACTTCTTTGATCCTCGCAACAACCCTGGGAGGTAGGGGCCATTATTATCCCCATTTATAGTGGAGGAAGCTGAGGCAGACACAGGTTGAGTGATTTGCCTAAGGTCACACAGCTAGCTAGTATCTGAAGCTGGACTTGAACTCAGGTCTCTCTGACTTCAGGCCCAGCATACTCAATTCACTAGACCACTGTTATCTCATTTGGTGAGTATGTAAAAGTGGAGTAAAGAAATCGTTAGCCCCACTCACTCCTTTACTCCTTCCTTTTCCCCCAGTCTTGTCTGTTTCTCCTCCATTGATGTTCTGACTAATTTTTATGGTTATTATGGGATTTAGAGAGATCACCTAGTACAGGGGTGGGGAACCTGTGGTCTCAAGGCCACATGTGGTCTTCAAGGTCCTTGGGTGTGGCCTTTTGATGGAGTCCAGATTTTACGGAACAAATCCTTTTATTAAGGGATTAGCTCTGTCAACTTCTGATTCAGTCAGAGGGCTCCATCTGAGGACCTACAGGGCCACATGTATAACTCTTTTCATTTTTAAGATGAAGAAACAGACCTAGAGAGGGCAGTGACTTTTCTAGGTCACACAGATAACATAAGAACTCAGATTTGAACTCAGGTCTTCTGACTCTAGATTCTGTGCTTCTTCCCTCTTATCTTACTATATTTCAACATAAGAAATTGTGTATTAGAGAAAGAAGGAAAAAGAGAGAGGAGAAGAGGGAAGAGAAGAGAGGAGGGAAGGGGAAAGAAGGAAAGGGAGGATTGAAGAGATGAGGAAAGAGGGGAAGACAGGAGAGGAGAGGAGAGGAGAGAAAAATTTGCTTGAAAACTTCCCAGACTATAAGGGTGGTTGTATATTGTCCTGAATTGAGTTGTACATCTTGTTTGGTGATGCTGCATTTACGTAGAATGGTGTGGGTGTGGAGTTGTGGTGTGTGGCCCAGTATCAAATTTGTGTTCCATGATGGGTGGTGTCATGAGTTCTGCCTGTAGCCAATTAATTCAGTTAGTTAGAGCATGGTACTCATAAATACAAAGTCCTGGATTCAGTCCCATAAAGGCCAGTTAGTGCCACCCAGAGGAAAGCCTGTTCCACAGCTGTTGATTTGACCCCTGACCTTACCATCTCATCTTCTGGATGCAGCTATGTCTGTGTCCTTGCCCAGGATCTCCACACTTGGGTTTTACTGCTTTAGGTCCTGTCCGGGCCAAGAAACTCAAGATGGTGGGAAAGAGAGATAAGCAAAATATGGCAGGTGGATTGGCATAAGGGAGAATCCTGGGTTTGAATTCCAGCTCTGCTCCCTTTGTGACTCTGGGCAAGTCATTTTCATTCTCTAGACCTCATATACCGTAAGGCGGGGGTTGGGGGGCACAGAAGTCCGCTACTAGCTCTAAATCATATGATCTCATGCCTAGTTTGTGTACTTTCTGGCAGGGTGGGGAGGTTCTATGTTCAAGTGGTTGGGCATTCCTCACTGGGTTATAATAAAATGTGAGCTGTTAGGCACAAGGCAATCTATGTCCCACTGAGACCCTGTTTCCCTCCCAGGTGAGCTTCAGCATTGAGGCCAAAGTGCGTGGCTGTCCCCAGGAAAAGAAGAAAGCCTTTACCATTAAGCCTGTGGGGTTCAAGGACAGCCTCACCATCTTTGTCACTTTTGACTGTGATTGTGCCTGTCAAGCCCAGGCTGAACCGCAAAGCAACCGCTGCAATCAGGGAAATGGGACATTTGAGTGTGGGGTGTGCCGCTGTGGCCCTGGATGGCTGGGCGCCCAGTGCGAGTGCTCTGAGGAGGATTACCACCCCTCCCAGCAGGACGAGTGCAGTCCTCAGGAGGGCCAGCCTGCCTGCAGCCAGCGCGGGGAGTGCCTGTGTGGCCAGTGTGTCTGCCATAGTAGCGATTTTGGCAAGGTCACTGGCAAATATTGTGAGTGTGATGACTTCTCCTGTGTCCGTTACAAAGGCGAAATGTGCTCAGGTAAGTGGGAAGGGCCCTTAGGGTTTCTCCTGCACTGTTCCTTTCTCCATCTAATCCAATTCGATCGAACAAGCATGTATTACCTGCCTTTTATAAATACAGAGACAAAATGGAAAAAAAAATTCCCTATGGTTCCTGCCTTCCAGGAACGTAGATTCTGTTTGGGATGGATACAGCATGTAAACATAGGAGAATGTTAATGCCTAAAGGAGATGAGCCTGGAAGAAGTGAGAGATTCTGAGAGGCAGAGGTGAGGAAAGATTGCATCCTGGGCATGGAGTACAGTCTACAGAAATTTATGGAGATTGGATATTGGGTATTGCATTCGAGGAATAGCAAGAAAACCAGCTTGGCTGGAACATAGGGTATATGAATGGGAGTAATGTGTAGTATGCATGGCAAGGTAAATTGGAGCCATAATGTGAAAGGCTTTAGATCTCTGGCTGGGGAGTTTGAAGATTTTCTTTCGATTCTTCGTGCCCCTCTCCCAGCTTTACTCCTTCCCCGCTTCCCTACACATATACTCACGTGTGTGTACTTATGCACACACATTTACTCTTCTGTCCTCAAGCCATTAAGCACTGTTGGATATTTCAGATTCCTGCTCTCACCTGGAAATTCAGCCTTATGGATCAAGATAGGAAGGAAAAAAATAGGCAGCGTTCTCCTGTTTCAATGTGGATGGGCACTTGTTTGGGACAGAAAGGAGTCAGGCATTGAATGGAGGGCTGGGTAACCTTGAAGATCACATAGGCATGGTTTAGTGACTGTGTCCTCTGAAGATCTGGGTTTGAGTCTAGAGTCTAGACTTAATAAAATAGCTTTATATAATAGACATAATAAAAGGATTATTTAATTTAAACTGTTAAATTAATTTAAACTATTAAATTAATATTAATTCATTAATACCATTAGTTATTAATTAATATTAATTCATTAAATTATTACATTAAAATTATATCATTTAATTTAATTATTTTATAAAAATAGACTTAATAAAAGGATTCGTTCTGCAAAGTTTGGATTCAGTCAAAGGGCCTCACTTGAGGACCTACAGGGCCACAGGTTCCCCATCCCTGCTCTAGACAGTTACTTATTAGCTCTGTAAACTCTCTTTGCACCTCATTCTTTCTCATCTGTAAAATGAAGAAATTGAATTCATTGATCCCTAAGATTCTAACAAGCTCTTGAAATGATGTAATTCCATAAAGAGTCCAATTCTAAAATTCAATCCTTTTTTTTTCTGCTTTTGCGTGCACCCACGCATCTCAAGATCACATGAGCGTGCAAATACTGTGCGCTCACACACATATACACGCACAGAGCAGGGGTTGACCCACAATACTCTCCAAGAGTATAAAAGCCCTAATTTTATTAAGTTACTTAACCTCTCAGTGCCCAGGCAATTCTCTAAGACTCTTAAGTTTCAGAATAATTGAATATATTTGTGTAGAGTGAATTTTCTCCCTGGGAGTTTCCTACCCTAATGCAATTACAAGTCAGGACCGAAAGAAAATTGTTAATTATTCCTTTATGCTTAAGTCTTGTTTCCGTAGCTCAATTAAAACTTCCGTGAGGAAAGGATCCATGTCATCTTAATCAAATTAAAAATTTTTTTGTCCTTCAGATCATAAATTGATTCTGCACTAACTCTAATTCCAAGTTATGCATTTTGAGCTTTATTTTGCTTTGCTTTTGCTTTTGTTTTGTTTTTAGCAGGGGGATGAGGTTGCATTGAACTATTTTCATTGTGACTCTATCCTCCCTGTTGCCAGAATCGAAGGCTGTCATGACTGTCATTAAAGGCATGCGTGGTCTGTGGCCATAGAAAAAGAGAGATGCTAACCGGCCCACTGGGGAATTGAACCCATAACCTTGCTCTCTCTTTAGCACTGTGATCTAATGAATGGTGCTAATTGGCCACAGATGTTCATGTCAATATTAACATCAGCCTGAGGGGAGGAAAACATAATCCAAAAGGTAAATCAGTGGCAACAAATGTTAAAACACATCTTAGAAATGACTTTTGGATTATTTGTGCATTTGCTTCCCCTATGGGTGCCTGCCAAACCTGATAAAAAAAAAAGATTAAGGGAGAGTAGGAATTTCTGTGTTTTGACATTACATGAACAGCATGCCCTAGTTATATGCAAAATGCTAATGCAAATCAGTAATTATTTTTGAGAGGGGGGGTGGTCCTGGGATGAAGAGAGAGTTGAGAGGCTTGGGGAGAAAGGAGGGAGGAGCCTCCACAAAAAGAGAGAGGATGGTTCTTAAGGGGAAACAGGGGGAGCCCCCTGAGAACACATCACAGCACAGGGAGCCCCTCAATTGATTCTAAGTGGGAGTCTGCCAAGGACAGGAGGGATCTCTGCCAGAACTTTTTATTTTTTCCTTTGGCAGATGGCCCTTCTGAAGCTATGAAGCAGAGCTGCCTGAGTCAGCCACTCCTGGTTCCTGCTTCCCTCTGGAGTATCAGCTGCTTGTTTTCATTGTAGTCCAGTTGAATTAATCAGGGAGCCCCGATCCAGTTCAACCATATTTTAGGTTTCAGACCATTTTGACTAGCATCCATGCCTATAGAACTGATATCCCAACCTCCCAATGATGGCAGACACTCAGAGATGTCAGATCAATTTCATGATATTGTTCCCCAAAGTTCCTGGCCCTCAGGTTGGGTGTAAGAGGGTTTGACGCATTGTACTGACCAGGGATGGGGTGGAGCTGCTGTGTGTTGACTGTTTCTATGACTCCTGATCCCTGAGCAAGAATGATGCAGGAATGTTGATGTTCTGGCTCCGTGCATTGATGACTGAGGCAAGATCCTTTCCTTTACCCCTACACAGAAACAGAGATAATATTGGCTGTGACTGCTGTCTCTTTAACAATCCTACCTCTTCTCCAGAATTGCCAGAGAGGGAGAGAGCTCTTGACTTCAAGGACTGATCTATCCAATCAATTAACCCAGTCTGTGCATTTTTATTAAGTACCTCCTATGGACAAAGCTTTGGACTGAGCACTGTTGAGAATTCAGAGAAATATGTGAATACGCCCTATCTACCTGAAAAGAATCAAGTCTTTTCCACTCATGATGTTGGGCTAGTAGCTATTTTCAAGACTGCCTTAATAATTTATCAGTGCGCTGGGGAGACATAGGGTAACTAAGGTTGGTAGAACATAAGTACTATGACAGGCAGTATAGTGCAGTACATAGAAAGATGGCCTCAGAGCCAGGAGGACCTGGCTTCAAGTCTTGCTTATGACACATACCAGCTATGTGACCCTGGCCAAGTTGCTTACCTTTTTCTCTGCTCTAGATGAGTGGTGTCAAATTCAAATAAAAAGGAATCCCTGTGGGCAGCGTACTGACTTAGAAAGCCACAAATTAACAATATTGCCAAGCCTGGAGTCAGGAAGACTCATCTTCTCAGTTCAAATCTGACCTCAGACACTTACTAGCTATGTGACCCTGGGCAAGTCACTTTGTTTGCCTTAGTTTCTTCATCTTTAAAAGAAACTGGAGAAGGAAATGGCAAACCTTTCCAATATCTTTGCCAAGAAAACCCCATATAGGGATAAAGAGTCAGACATGTGTGAAAAAAAAGACTGTTGAGTTGTATTTTTATTTATTTTGTTAAACATTTCCCAATTACATTTTAATTTGGTTTATGCCTAGAGGATTTTTGGAATGCATTCTGGCTGCAAGTTTGACATCTCTGCTCTAGAAAACTCTCTAAGAATGTAAGTTTCAGAGAAGATGCATTGGTAGAAGGACTTCCCTATTATCAATGAAATTATAGGTCCAGTCTCTATCCCCTGTACTGTAGGTGCTAGAGGAGTGGTCCAGCTGACAGAGTGCTATTTGATTTCAGAGTAAGAAGAGATGTGGTTTGGGGGTTGTCAGGGAAGACTTCACAGAGACAGTAGAATTTAATCAGGTCCTTGAAGAAGTAGTAGGATTCAGAAAGGTCTCCAGAGAAAGCATGAGAAGAATATCTTAGACATATGTGAACAGGAAGAGAGAACACAAAACAGGAATTTAGGCCAACATCCCCTCTGGTCTTCTGGGATACTGCCCTCCCTCCCTCCATCCCTCCCTTCCTTCGTTCCTTCTTCATTCCTTCATTTGTTCCTTCCTTCCTTCCTTCCTTCCTTTGCTCCTTCCTTCCTTCCTTCCTTCCTTCCTTCCTTCCTTCCTTCCTTCCTTCCTTCCTTCCTTCCTTCCTTCCTTCCTTCCTTCCTTCCTTCTTTCCAGAATGAGGTGGTCCAGGACGGGACAGAATAGATCAGGTGCTAAGAACAGCTGAATCCTTCCTGCCCTGTGCTCTGAGCTTCTGTCCTCACCCCTTCCCTGGCAGAAAAGGGGCCATCTCCACAGCATTAATACCACACTCTGATTTCCCTGCCAGGGCTTAGTGTTAACCTGAAGCTCACCAAACACTGTTTACTCTCTCCTGGCAGATCAGATGATCAAAGGCTGCCTTTTTGGCTTTGCAAGAGAAATGCTATTAAATGAGAGGTTTCTAGGACTGATTTGAGACTTTGGGGGAAACTGAGAAGTCAAAGACCTTGCTTGGCTTCCTCTGACATAGGTATTTCCCTACCTTGGAGACCCATCCAAAAGGAAGCCAAAACAGGGCCTTCATTCTGTTTGCTTTATCCTCCAGCATAATACCAATTCCTCAATCAGCTGCATTCCCGGGCTGACTCCTATTTGAGAAGTGGAATTCTGCCAGGTTGGATCCCAAGGGTAGGCCATGTGGCTAAGGGATGCCTAGTGAGAGCCATTCTCTGTGGCCTTTTGGGGAAGTAGGTTTCCTTATCTGTGAAATGGGGATAATCATAGCACCTCCCTCCCAGGGTTGTTGTAAAGATCAAATGATACAAATGCAATATAAATGTTAGCAATTATTGTTCGTAATAGTAGTAGTCGGTGCCAAATTAGTGGTCATCTTAACCTTGCCAATGTATTACCCTCTTCCCTTGACTCCCTAGAGCATGTCTACCCTAATTGGTTTTAGCGGCACAGATTCAATGCGTAGCTTCAGGCCATGATTTTCCTGTCTGGTTTCTTCTGATTAACTCCAAGTTTTCCATTATTCACCAACTTCCTTCTGCTCGCAGAGGAATGCTTCATGATTCATTGCCTCGCTGCTAATCCCAAGTGGGCACTGGGGGCAGGGTGGATCTTTCATAAAACAATTCCACGTAGTTCACGAACCAAATGCCACAGTAACATGACTTTGCAGATAAATTTCAATGTTTTACTGGCCTAGGTTTTCTCAGCCTCTTGACTGACCCCTGCTGCTCTTCTTCCCACAATGATATGTACACACTGGAGATTACAAAATCATAATGATCAGCTCGCTATCTCTTGCTTCACTCATTTCTCCTTTCTGTATCAGTTTGCAGCCCAGTGATCTACCCTTTGTGTCACCAACCAGGGTCCACAAGCAAAGGGAATGAAAAGGTAGTGCCCCCACATATGTTTATTTTTTAATTTTTAATTTTTATTTAAAAAATTTTTTTAAATTAATTAATTTATTTTTAATTTTCAACATTCACTTCCATAAGATTTTGAGTTCCAAATTTTCTCCCCATCTCGACCCTCCCCCACGCCAAGATGGCATGCATTCTGAATACCCCTTCCCCTAATCTGCCCTCCCTTCTATCTCTCTCCCCCTTCTCTTATCTCCTTCCCTTTCAGTTTTCCTATAGGGCAGGATAGATTTCTATACCCCATTTCCTGTATATCTTATTTCCCAGTTGCATGTTCCCCATATGTTTAAAATGGGTGGAATCAAGTGTTTCCTACTCACTCTGGAACTAGTAGCTATTTTCAAGGATCCCTTAATAAATACTTGATTAACAAGCAAAGCACCTCTTTTATATAGCCCTCAAGGTAGATTATTCTCTGACCCCATTCGGGGTTTACTGAAGTGGTTTGCCATTTCCTTCTTCAGCTCATTTTACAGATGGGGAAACTGAGACAAAAAGGGTTAAGTAGGAAGTACCTGCCATTAGATTTGAACTCCTGACTCCGGGCCCAGCATTCTCTCCACTGCACCCCCCTAGTTGCCACAGCTTAGCATAGGCTCTTGTGGAAAGGTAAGGTAAAACTGGCCTACCCTCTCTTTTGAGATCCAGTCCTTTATTTCAAACAGTTACTCTCAATTCAACAAAAATCAGCATGTCTTTATCTGGAAACAAAACCAGTTATGAAAATATAGACTGCAAATAAACAAGGTTCAAATAGAGGCTGCTCATTTGGTGCCTTGGTTAGCATGTTGGAGTCGGGAAGACCAGAGTGAAAATCTGGCCTCAGGTACTTCTAGCTGTGTGACTCTGGCCAAGTCACTTAAACCCCTGCCTGCCTCAGTTTTCTCAACCACAAAATGGAGATGATAATAGTACCTACCTCCCAGGATTGTTGTAAGAATCAGATGAGATAATGTTTGCAAAGTTCAAACTGTGCCTGGCACACATGGGTACTTAATAAATGCTTGTTTCCTTCCTAAACTGAGCAGGAAACTCCCGAGGATAACCATGTCAGTTGGCTAGGCAGTGGAATAATTTCACCATGTTCCACAGCATTGGCAAACCGGAACATCCAGGCAAATAGCAAGTTCTGTATAGTTAATTTATTCCTTAAGTGGGTCAGTGAGTCAGACCGATTTCCAACTGCTTATGATTATATTCATTTTGGGATAGAAGCACTTCTTTATTTTCTCCGATAAGAACAAAAGTTCTCTGTTTTCCCCTGTCCTGGGAGGTTCTTGCCTCCCATGATACTTCTGAGAGGGGAAAAAAATAGAATTGGATAAATGGAATCATTGATTTAGAGTTGGGAGGAGGAGTGTGCTGATAAATGTTTAACAACTGGCTTGTCGGGGAAAAAATGCACGGAGGACACACTTTTAAATTTAGTGGGGAAGAAAGCAAAGTTCATGAATCAATAAATGAATGGATCTTTATTAAGCACTTTGTATGAGTTAAACACTGGGAATAGAAAGCACACATAGACACAGACACACACACACACACACACACACACATTCCACATAAATATACTTTCTAAATGCAAGGTGTCCCAAAAGACTTAGTGCAATTAAGCTCTTCAAGCTCAAGTAGGCTAGAACACAATGTCCTTGCAGATAGGAATTGTTTCTTGTATTTGTATCCCCAGTGCCTAGCAAATAGCTGTTTAATAAATACCCATAGATTTATCTCATTTGGTCTCACAACAGCCCTGTTAGGTATCTCTGGTATGATTATTCATATTGTACTGATAAGGAAACAGAGGCCCTGAGAGGTTAAATAAATAGCTTGTGGTCATACAACTAGCAAGTGTCAGAAGCTGGATTCATAACTAAGTCTTCCTTATGCCAAGTCCACTCTGATCATTTTGCCATCATGGTACCTCTCTGCTGGATTTGGGATTTGGGAAATAAAGTACTCTTAACTAAGGGCTAGTCAAATGTCAAATAGCCCCAAACAAGCCTGTCATAGACGTTAGAGCAGCATTGTTGGATCTGAGAAGAGGGCCAGGACAAGAAGAAAAAGATGTGTTAGTGAGGATGGGTGGGGGTTTACATGTTTAAAAATCAATTTATTTTTAACATTCATTTAAAAAATATTTTTTGAGTTCTAAATTTTCTCTTCCTCCCTCTTGCTCTTCCCCCAATCATTGAAAAGTCAAGCAATATGATATCAATTATACATACAAAGTCATGCAAAACATATTTCCATATTAGCCATGTTGCAAAAAAAGAAAAAGGAAAGGCTAAAAAAATAAAGTGAAAAAATTATGCTTTGGTCTGTACTCAAGAGTTCATCAGTTCTCTCTTTGGAGGTGGAGAGCATTTGTCAAATTTTCTTGGATCATTGTCTTGACCAGAGTAGCAAAATCTTTCACAGTTATCGTGGTCACAGTATTATAGTGTATAGTGTTCTTTCTGCTCACTTCACTTAGCATCAGTTCATGTAAGTCTTCCCAGGTTTTTGTGAAACCATCCTGCTCGTCATTTCTTATAACACAGTAGTATTCCGTCACAATCATATACTGCAACTTGTCCAGTCATTCCCCAACTGATGGGCATCCCCTCAATTTCCAATCTTTTACCAATGGATGGATGTTTTGAAAGGGAATGGTATGCTGAGAAGCTGAATCTCAAGCCCTATAATCAGCATTGACTGTGATCTAGACCCCTCACTTAGCTCCCTGATTCTTATTGTGAAGAAAGGAGGTCTAAGACAAAACCTAATCTCAATAGTTCAGCCCTGTTAGAAGCAGTGGGAGCAAAAGGCTGGAGAGGGATCTTGGAAGACCTGGAAAGGCTAAGCTTCTAAGACCCTCCTGCCCCACCAGGATACAATGTCCCAGTAACATATCAAGGTCCCCTGTTGTGTGTGTATGGGAAGGGGCTGCAGGAGAGTGGGGGGGTAGGAGGGGTGAAGTGGTCAGATTCTATTGCTATCTCATTAGGGAACTTAGATCAAGCAGAAGCCCTCTTGCAGGTATGCAGTTTCTTATGCTCTTCCTCTAGGAAAGATAATTAATTATATTCTGGTCTGAGAGAACAGATTAGGTAATTTTCAACTTTATTATGGGCAGGCCAGGGTTTATTTGTCTGTCTCCCTCTCACTGGCTATGTATGCTTTCTTTCTGTCTCTTTCTCTCTCTCTAGGCCATGGTCAGTGCAGCTGTGGGGACTGCCTCTGTGACTCTGACTGGACCGGTGACTACTGTAACTGCACCACCCGCAAAGACATGTGTATGTCAAGCAATGGGCTGCTGTGCAGCGGCCGAGGTAAATGTGTCTGTGGCACTTGTGTCTGCACCCAGCCCGGCTCTTACGGGGACACCTGTGAGAAGTGTCCCACCTGCCCTGATGCCTGCACTTTTAAGAAGTGAGTGGATGAGAACTGACAAGGGGCTTGGGGAGTTTGGGCACAGATGTCTGGGCAATGTAGAGGTGCAGGGTGGGCAGTGGGAAGCAGAGGCTTGTTTTGGGGTGTGGATCTGCTTGACCCTGCCCTGTAGGGCTAGTCACTTATGGACACGGAGGGGCACATTGGTGGATAAAATGCTAGACTTGGAGCCAGGAAGACTTGGGTTCAGATGCAGCCTCAGATCTGACCTACTTCTCTGAGCTTCAGTTACCCCATATGCCAAGTATGGATGACGACACTAATAGCACTCCCCTCCCAGGGTTCTTATGAGGTAATTTTTGTAAAGTGCTTTGCATATCTTAAAGCACTATATAAATGTGAGGTATTAGCATTGTTTTTCCTCCCAGCCTAAGTGAGAGGTTAACAGATAACGAGGTATCAGCGTGTTAAAATGAGGTGTAAAGACGGTGTCTGTTCCCTGTTATCCTTTTATAATATCCAACAGAATTCTGCCTGAGGAAATTATAAGGTCAAGGGGCTGCTGGCTGGCCAGGAATTGGCTGCATTCCTATTGGTCTTGAAAAAGAAAAGCTAAGGCTGCCAGCCTGGGAAAGAATTGGAAGCAAGGAGCAGCTTCATGGAGTGTGACCCTTGTACCCTCTACAGAGGTTAGAGGTGGAGATTTATTTTCCTCTCTACCATGGTAATAGCTTCTTAGAGCCGAGGTACTTATCCAGCGTTTGGTTGTTCAGTTGTCTCAGTCATGTCCTACTCTTCATGACTCCATTTGGGGGTTTCTTTTTCTTTTTCTTTTTAAGGCAATTGGGGTTAATTGACTTGCCCAGGATCACACAGCTAGTAAGTGTCAAGTGTTTGGTCTGAGGCTGGATTTGAACTCAGGTCCTCCTGACTTCAGGGCCAGTGCTCTATCCACTGCGCCACCTAGCTGCCCCTATTTGGGGTTTTCTTGGCAGAGATACTGGAGTGGTTTGCCATTTCCTTCTCCAGCTCACTTTACAGAAGAGGAAACTGAGGCAAAGAGGGTGAAGTGACTTGCCCAGGGTCACAGAGCTAGTAAATATCTGAGACCAGATTTGAACTCAGGAAGAAGAGTCTTCCTGACTTTAGGCCCGGCACTCCATCTCTGTACTACCTTAGCTGCCCTTACTCACCCAGTAGGAGATGAGGGAACAGAGAAAGGCAGGCATGGAGAATTGGGGACAGGAAGCAACTTCAAGGTGCAGTGTATAGAGTGCCAGGCGTGGAGTCAGGAAGACTCTTCTTCCAGAGTTCAAATCTGGCCTCAGACACTTGCTAGCTGTGTGACCTTGGGAACGTCACTTAACCATTTGCCTCCATTTCCTCATCTGTCAAATGAGCTGGAGAAGGAAATGAACCACTTCAGTATCTCTGCCAAGAAAACCCCAACTGGGGTCACAAAGAGTTGGACATGACTGAAAAACTAGTGAACAACAGCAAAGAAAGGGTTAGAATCCTCAACTTCTAAGCTCTCTTCTAGTCCCAAGTCTAGGATTCTGCAGGCCTTCTATGTGTAAGACCCAGAGGCAGGTGCTGCGTTGAGGAATGCATCCATGAAATGAGACGGTCCTGGCTTTCAAAGAGCTTATAGTTTATTTTTCCTGTCTCTAATCCAGAGACTGCGTGGAGTGCCAGAAGTTCAGTCGGGGAGTGTACGAGGAGAGTACTTGCAGCCGCTTCTGTCGGGATGAAATTGTGCCTGTGACAGAACTTGGTAAGTGCCAGGTATCTCTGTTCCCTCCCTTCCCCACCCCCTGCCACGTCCCCGCTTTGAACTGAAGATGGTAATTATGGAGGTGTGCAAGGGAATGAAGTACCATGGGCTTGGGATTTCCCCAAGTGTTGCTGCATTTCACACCGTTTCTTTGGTTTTCTTCTTCCAGCTATCCTTTGCCTGATTTTTTGCATCCTTAATCTTCTTATTGACCAGTTGCTAGTTGGGAATGGGCAGGAAGGGAAATGTAGTTCCCTGGTGGGCCCTGAACAGAGTGTAAACCTTGAAGGGACCCCTTCCGTAGGATTATTGATTTAGAGCTGGCAGGGCCCATAGAAACCATCTGGTCCAATACCCTCTTTTAACAGATGAGGAAGAAGCCACAGAGATTAATGACTTGCCCAGTAAGCGTCTGAGGCAGAATTTAGTCAGTTAATAAGTTAACAATCATTCATTAAGGGCCTGCTATGTGCCAGGCACCGTGCTAAGGGGTAGGGGGACAAAGAAAGGAGAAAGACATCCTCTGCTCTTAAGGAACTCGGAGGTGACATTTGCAAACAAGATATAGACAGGATAAATTGGGGGTAGTCTCAGAGGGAATGCCTGGGAAAGCCTTCTTGCTGAAGGTTGGATTTTAGCTGGGAACTGAAGGAAGCCAGAGAAGCCAGGAGGTAGAGCTGAAGATGGAGATAATTCCAGGCATGAGAGAGACAGCCAATGAAAATGCCCAGAGTTGGGAGTGTCGTATCTGAGGAAAAGCAAGGAGGTCAGTGTCATTGTATTACTCAGGTCACCCTGACTCCAGGTTCAAAGTGACTTGTCCAATAAGCGTCTGAAGCAGGATTTGAACTCTCTCCAAATTCAGTGCTATATTTACTCACCACACCACCTACCTACCTTAAATGGGTCCCTGATCCTGGAGATCTGTGTTCAGTGACACCTCTTGCCCAATGGGGGATGATACAAGGCTCTACAATACTCCAATTTCCTATTGACTATCCTTAAAAAAAAATCTTAATACCTATTGTTTTTATACCAGCTCCATTTCCCAATACATCTTCCTCCTCTCCTAGAGGGCCATCCTTCATAACAAAAAATAAAACAGAAAGGGGAAAAAAATTCATATGATGGGAAAAGGAACTGTGACCAGAGTCTTGGACTTTCTAAAGCTTGAGGTATGGGACTTGCTGCCCATCTTAGAGGGATAAGGTCGATGGTGTTGGAGAGTATGGAAGAAGAGAAGTCAGACTCACACTGATTTAATGGTCCTCCTTGGAGAGTCACCAAGAATTGTGTCCACATTAAGGATGGTGCTTTTGATCCCAAACTCATCCCTATATAAAAAAAATCTAGAATCTAATTCTGACTTTGAACTAATTTTTGTGAAAATATGAACCAGGATCCAAATATAAAATTCAGAATCAATACCCTATTATGCATACTCCTCCCTCCCCCCTTGCCCCACCAAAGCACACTATTGATAATTTCTCTGTAAACTTTGTTTCAGGGACTTTTTTTTCTGAGAACTCTTCCCCCTTCCAAATTTGTGGGGTGTTTCTCATTCTCTTGACTCAATATCCTTTGCTCCACTACCACCCCCAGAAAATGAATAAAAACATATACATAGTATTCCTTAATATTCTGAAAGCATCCCCTTATCGTTAAGTATTCAGCTCGTAAGTTGTATTAGATGGAAGAAAAAACATAATGAAAATCCTAAAAGCAACCACCATTAGTCTAGGGGTATTCTGGTAGATGTTTAACAACCAGCTCTCCAGAAGAAAAAAATTCCTAGGATACACTTTTAAGTTTAATTTGCATTATTAACATTTTTTTAAGTCTGGACGAACAACAAATAATAAATCAAGCCTGTTCTGTAGCATTTGCCAATTTCTGAGGTATAAATGCTCACATCAAGCAGTGGTTCGGGAGACAGTTTGAGAGGGCTCCTGTATAATTCCCACATTTCTGAAAATCCCAAGAAACACTTACAGATGTTGTGGTCACAGTATCCTGTCTTGGGGGCAGCTAGATGGAGCAGTGGATAGAGCACTGGCCCTGGAGTCAGAAGGACCCAAGTTCAAATCCCACCTTAGACACATGATACTTACTAGCTTGTGTGACCCTAAGCAAGTCACTTAACCCTGATTGCCTCACCACAAAAAAAAATATCCACTATCCTGTCTTGGTCACTTGACACTTGTCATTCAAAAGTGGAGGAGGATTTTTTCTCTCTCCTTTCTCTCCTCACTTCTCATTGCTCTGTGGCACACTTACCTAGTCCACTAATTTGTCAGGCCAGGGCAGGGCAAGTTTCTATAGTGTCTTCCAGATGTTTGATATCTTCTCTGCAGTCCTTCTCTTTTCTCCTTTCTTCTCCAATTCCTTCCTCCTCCATCTTCTTCATTATCTCCCAGTTACCAGCCCTGTCCATCATCATGTATGTCTCTACTGGTGTATTTATTTTAATATCTCAGCATCAGCTAGACCTTCCTAGGTGATTTCCCTCCTCATCCTATAGCTGCGAGATAGATAGAATGCCTTTATTTGATCATCTTGTTCTGCCATACTGTTTAAAGGGGCTGAGACACCTCATTATAGGGCATTTCATAGTCAAACATGGAAGTAGCCTGTATATGTGATGCTTATAATGCTGAGAAAGGTCAATGCCTACTTCTTGATGTTAGCAAGTTGATCCGTTAACCTGTGAGCCCTCCCCATAGACATCCCAACTGATTCTGTCAGCAACCTTTAACCTCCTCTTCTCCTCTTCTTCTTCTTCTTCCCCTTCCTGGGGACCTGTGACACCCACGATTCTTTATTTTACATATTGAAAAATTGTATAAATTAGGCAACCTTATCCCATGATGGGGCAGCTAGGTGGTGCAGTAGATACAGCACTATGCATGGAATCAGGGAGACTCATCTTCCTGAGTTCAAATCTGGCCTCAGATACTTACTAGCTGTGTGACCCTGGGCAAGTCACTTAACCCTGTTTGCCTCAGTATCTTCATCTGTAAAAGGAGTTGGAGAAGGAGATGGCAAAACTTTCTAGTATGTTTGCCAAGAAAATCCCAAATGGAGTCACAAAGAATTAGACACAATTGAAACAGCAAAAATCCCAAGACTGGGTGTGTGACCTTGGGCAAGTCACTTAACCTCTGTCTACCTCAGTTTTCTCAACTATAAAATGGGGATTATAGTAATACTTCCCTTCCAGGGTTGTTATAAGGATCAAATTAGATAAGATTTGTAATGTGCTTAGCACAATTACCAGGACATAGTAGGCACGATGTGATAATAATGATGACTGGAGAGACTCCTCATTCCTTTGTTAAAGACAGAGGAGACATCAGTGTACTGGACCTGAAATTAGGAAAAGTTGAGCTCACATTTTGTCTTTGATACTTACTTAATATTGGCAAGTAATGTTAATCCCTCTCAGCCTCATTTTCTTCTTTTGAAAATGGGAGTAATATAATATTTCACAGGGTGGGCATGCTTGCAAGCCTTATGTAATTGTCAGCTGTTCTTAGATGAGTAAACTAAAGCAGACTCAAAGTAATGCACGTATCCCAGGGATGGGAAACCTGTAGCCTTGAGGCCACATGTGGTCCTATAGGTCCTCAAGTGCGGCCCTATTCAGTCAAAGGGATGCACTTGAGGGCCTAGAGGGCCACCTATGGCCTCAAGGTCTCAGGTTCCCCACCCCTGGCTTACCTGATTGTGGACCTCCTTTCCTTTATTTCTGGTTCTTCCCATGCCTGGGGTGCTCTCCTGCCTCACTGAGGCCTACTGTCTTTCTCCAAGACTCAGTTCAGATTTAACCTCCTGCAAAAGGGCCTTTCACAAAAAGGCCTCCCACCACCGTTAGTGCCTTCCCTCTGATATGATTTCCCATCTACACTGTATATATAAGAATCTTGTATGCATGTAAGTGTTTGCCCGTTTCTCCTTCATTAGAATGTGACCTCCATTTTTGCTTTTCTTTGTATCCCCAGAGATTAGCACAGTGCCTGGCTCATAGTAAGTGTTTAATGAATACTTGCTGAATGAGCGACCTTTCCCCCTGTCCCTGGGCCTCCACGGCGGGTTATCCTTGTACTGTTATTTTTAATTGGGTCCACTCAGTCAGGGAAGAAGCCTTTATTAAGAATCCTTTCAGTGCCAGATTTCAGCATAGCTTGGGGTCAGGCCATTGGTCTGGAGAGAAATTCCCCCATCCCGCACCCATCCCCAAACAAACACCCTTTGGGATACATGCCATCAAAAGTCCCATCCTGAAACCCATTCAGCTGCCAGGGCTGTCGGCAAGCCCACACACAGCCTTTCTATGAATCAGTGTCATAGGCACCATAAAGGTGAGGGCAAAATCCAGAGAAAAAAAGAGCCCAGATCAAGGTTCTCTCCTCCCTTCTGCTTCCCCTTCCGTTCTGTTCTCATTTAAAAACTTGAGCAAGGAGGGCTTTCTTATGGTTGGCACACACTGAGCAGTTAACCAGGCTGGTTATCAAGGCCATCTGCAGAGCCTTTGAGGCAGGCCTGGAAGACTGCCGGCTCTTACAGGATAATGATCTCCCCCTCAGGCAGAAAGCATATTTTCAAGGAGAATTAAGAAAAAAGCCAAAGCTGATCAAAACACTCAGATGTCTTGGGAGTGAGGCAGTTTCTTCCAAGCCTTGTGGGCCTTTCTGTTGCAGGACATAAGCTGACTGGATGCAAGGAGACATTTTATTTTATTTTGTGGATGTGAAGGAGCTTACTGATATTAGCTCAGAGGAGAGGTGATCTGCTTTACAACTGGTCCAGATTGACTGTGAGGTCTAGTTAATTAATGATGATGATGATGATGATGATGATGATGATGATAATGATTATAACAAGAATGGTTAGGATTTATATGTGCTTTAAAGGCTTGCAAAGTGACTTACAAATGTTATCTCATTTTATCCTTACAACAACCCTAAGAAATGGATGCTATTCTCATATAGCTAGGTGGT